TGGTGCCTGCTGTCATCTGCTCTGAGGCCGGCTTTGGCTGGTGACACATCCTCAGGTATATAACTTGCTGTATTTTTTTTTAACAATTTAGAGTAACATTATGTCATATTTTAAACAACTATTAAGCTGCATAGTAACCTGATGGGTATTTGAAACACAAATCAAAACATAAAGAAACATTTCAGGTACATTAAAGCTTCATATTGCAGTGACTGCAGTTCAAAATACCCCCATAATGTGTCTTCATACCTTTCCCATGAGTCGTTTCTTCAGTGATCTCACTGATGTGTCCAGGCCCCACTGCATTCTGGGCAGTGAGGGTAAATTTATACCAGGTGCCACACTTGAGATTTTCCAGCCGATAGGAGCGTTCACTAGGACTGATGGCAAAGTTACCCCACTGCTCACTGTTATCCTCAGAGTACTGCAGAATGTAGCCTGGAGAGGAACACAGGGGGTGAGATGATTGTGACTCATGATTGAGGGGAAACAGACAAAGAAGCAAAAACACTGAAAAAATACAGTGTAGTGTGTGTCTGACCTCTTATGGAGCTGCCTCCATTGTCTCCTGGGATCCAGGAGAGGGTTATAGAGGTGGTGGTTGTCTTGGTCACTGTGAGACGAGGCTGGTCTGGTGGAACTACAGGAAATACAACAGACAAACCTCTAAAATGACTGATTGTGATCATTAGCACCACTCTCAGGACAAACAACAGTCAACCAAGTAAAAGAAACAAAGAGTAACAGGTGCAGCTTAATGTAAATGCCACCTGAGTGCTGGGGTTTCACATGGGCACATGTTGTTGAGGGTTGATACTAACATGACTTTTTTTCACATTGTATTTCTCACCTTGAACCTGCAGGTTGAGGATGATCTTGTCAGACCCAAAACTGTTACTGGCCACACATGTGTAGTTCCCAGAATCCTCTGCTTTCACTGTACGGATAACAAGGCTGCCATTACTATGGACGCTGCGCCGATTGGCAATCACCACCAAACGCAGATGTTTTGAAGATGTTTTAAAAGATTTAGAAGATGTTTCCATTACTAGAATAAACTTAAACATTTCAGTGATAAACAGAAATGACTCTACCAGAAACTATATACATGTTTATGTATCTATTCCAGTACCTACATATTGTGTGTTTGCAAGCTTTAAGGCTGATGGGTACTCACATCTCCTTCAGCCACTTGATGGTTGGGGATGGATCTCCCACTGCCACAAGGCAGCACAATGTCCCTCATCCAGGGGGTGGTGGAATGATGCCATTCACTTTGAGAGGAGGAAGCCAGGACCCAAACACCACTGAGTTGGATGCAGCAGCTGCCTTCACACCTGCTGGAGGGCCAGGAACTAAAAGAAAAAGCTGGTCTAGTGAGTATATTTCTCATATTAAACTAACCTTACTACTTTGAAGATTTTTATCATGCTTTTTCCGCAGATTGTAAAGATAATATATGAAAATGTGTCATACTCTGCAGGACTACCTGCTGCATGTAAGAGTTAGAACTATTCATGTAATAAGGGTATTTAAGGCTCTGCTCCTCATTGTCTCATTTTTACCACAGGGTTTCATCATTACTGTAAAATATTATTCTCATTTAAGCAAAACTGCCCTTTCTCAATTTAACATAAAGAGTAGACAATATAATTCATTGGGGCCCTGGAGCAACGAGTCAAACTTATATTTTAACTGCTAAAAACAGAAGCTCAACTTGACATGTGCAGCCTGACAGCTGCCCTTGAGCCTTTATTTTGAAGAGCTTAGTTAATTTGCCTACCATCTTCCTTGGTACGTGTGTAAATCTGTTCACTGCGAACACCATCTCCAGCTCTGGTGAAGGCCAACACTTGGATGCTGTAGTTGGTGTACTTCTCCAGTCCATCCAGCTCCAGAGAGGGCTTAGAGGTTGTCACGTTCCTGATCTCTCCAAGCTCTGATGGACAGACAGGAGGACAGGACAGCAGAGGGGAGAGTGAGGACACCTCAGGTTGAAGGCCCCGTCCGGTGCAACTCTCTTACTGGCACAGGTCTAAACATGTGACTCATATAATACAGCATGTTGCATACATAAAAGTAGGCAAATGTTAGGGCAGTGGTTCTCAAACTGGGTGGCGTGGACCCTATAGGGGACCTGAAGTTAACGAAGGGGCGTGTGGCAATGGCTGAATCTAACTGACAAAATGAGGGAGCCAGCAGAAAAGACATGGGAACAACTGTGTAGGGTTTGAATTATTGTTGTCTCCCTGCGTCACTGCTCTCTATCCATATCTTCCTGCCTCTACCTTAGTCACACTATTCCTTTATCTCTTTCCACTTCTCTCCAGGGATCTCCCTGCTGCATCTCTTTTCTCTTCCCTGGCTTTTAATGAGCACTTAAGACATGTGGAACAGCCATCACACTTGCACAGCTGCAGTCAGTTTACCATACAGTAAGAGCATTTTACACATGGTTATATACATCTATGTGCTTTCCTAGTGTCTTGCTCTCAAGTTACTGTATGTTTAAACAAATAAATGAAAACAATACATAGATATGAAAGATTTAGGCAATTAATTAATTAGTCAGTCAGTCAAGAAAATTCTCTAACTTCTAATAGATTAGTTGTGTGAATCATTCTAGATGATGTGTGTCTCTGGAGGAAGGAACAACCCGGGTCATGTTTGTAATTTTATTTGTGGCTTTAAAAATAAATCTGCATTAAAATGAAGAAAGACGGACTCCTTCGTTATTCAGATCTGTCCAATTAAAGAACTGGGGTATTACTCTTAGCCATAGTGTAAAAAGTGCAATACACACTACTGTAGTACAGCCTTTCTTCAGACACATGTAACAAAGCAAAAGAACGCTAGTTAACATGAGTGGAATTACAGTACATACAGCCAACACAGCATCCTTGCTAGCTTACACACACTCACCCTCCAAAGCTAAGCAAAATTACCTGCCATTTTACCGTGCTTCTTTCCCTGCTACTGATACACTTCATTATTGCTGTGTTCTACAGTATTCTACATCATGCCACTGGGTAACGCTGTAGGCTAGCGCGGGGACTGACGGCAGTATTGCCAACTTGGCGACTTTCTCGCTAAATCTGGCGACTTTACAAATTCTCTTGGCGAGTTTTTTTTTTTTTTTTTTTTTTTTTTTTTTTTTTTCAAGGGGCATACAGCCAAATCT